GGGCCCAGGGTTCTAGTCACATAATCAACGGTTGCTTGTGACAATGAATGCGCAAGACCGCATGTTACTACTAGATTCTACAAATGCAATGTTGGCTGGGTTGTTCTGGTCGGGAAAGAGAAATTTTCTCGTTGAATTTGATTCTAAAAGATAACGAAATCTCTCTAATGACTCAAGTTACTGCATGACCGTATTTATATTTTTAATATACTAATTTCTTCTAATTTTTTGATATGCGTGATAATTCGTTATCACGCATAAATCATCAAAATTCTATATCTGGTTTGTCTAACCATACAGTTTGTAGTCTTTTCAGGAGTAGGGGGTATTGTCTCCTTAGTTATGGCTTTAGTATTTGTCAAAATAAAAAATTAAAAAATAGGGCACTACATTATATCCTGCTTTGCTTGGGTAAGAATATACATAACAAACAGATTTCTGTTCATGTTTGCCTGTTTACAAATGCGGCATAACAGGCATACTAACATAGGTCTACTCTGCTGATATTGCAAAGGTTTCTATTGTTAATAGGAACCAATAATAATAATAATAATAATAATACAATAATAATAAGTGCCATAATAATAATTATAATAATAATAGCAATGATAATAAAGCAAGTGCAATGAAAAATCATTTGGATTAACAATTACAAGTTTAATTAAAGTGCAATGTTTGAAATGAAAATGTGTAATTTCTTTTATTATATATAGGCCTTTTTAACATGTCTTACATTTTAATCAATTTAGGCATTATTATTGTACTAATTGTTTTATGTTCATTTGACATGTTAAAAATATTGTTTAAGGGCCCAAATGGAAACAAGTTTTTTATATTTTAATACCTTCTTCGGTTACCCTAGGAATTAATGTCTTATTTGTTGTTCTTTATTGTTTATTTGTTCCTTGTTTTAGTTCTATTTAAGAAATGTTTTGTGACTTCAATTTCTGAATAAAATGAATGAAATGGAAAATATACACAATGTTTATACATTAAAGATTACATAAATCTGTGGTAATATTGATATGAAATTAGTAATATAATAATGGGATAAAATGAACATACTGACTTCTCTATAGTCACATGTCACTGCATTTAGACAGTATAATTGTGTCATTGAAAGGGGATTTCCCTTGTTCTTCCCTCACAACAATAAATTTTAGTCAACCTTTTAAAGGTCATGTAGAGCAAAAGTTTCAGCCATGCAAATATTCCTCCCCTACAGGTACTGTAAAGTAGTTCAAGCATTGAATGGACAGTCTTATCTTTTTGTGTAAAGTTCTATACCTGGAACACATATAGACCAACAATAATGAAAGGTATTATAAAATGCATTCCAATTGACTGAGGTCCTGCTCTACTTTGTAGGACAATAAAACTATCTTTCATTTGGAAAGATGACATAATTTTTTACTAGGCTGGTGCTAATATTATGTAGATACAGTAGCTTTAATATTATAGCCTGAACTGTAACATTTTATATCCCCCCCCCCACCTCGTAGGATATGACTGGACCCCATAATCCAGAACCAAAAATAATAATTTCCTATCCAAATATATAAATATTTTGATTGCCAATTCTAAGCCATAAAAACTCTCCATGTGAACCCTACAATTAGGGATTTTATTGCGTTTTATCCTGACCGAGGCTCCCTGTTGGAACACGTCAGACCCCCTGTCGGCAAATTTCATGTATCTGTAAATTTGCAAGGAAAATGTTTTTTCATATCTATCAATCGAAGGCCAATAACTTATTTAAAATTTAAGAGATTCAAGTATTTGTTATTTATTTTTCATTTATTTAATATTTCACAAGGGGATCTTACACAAATCTGACTCAAAAAGGCCTTCAAGTAATGAATTATATATATATTTTCTAGACAGTACAGCAGCCTGCAGTACAGTATTTCTCTTAAGTTGAGTAGATGAGGTGGTGAGCAGAAATATATTTGTTGTGTTGCTATGGGCAAACACAATATAACATATGTGGCAAAGACAAACAAGGTCACTCCTTGCAATAATAGATTTTTAGTTATTTATACAGGGTTAAACAGTAAAATAAGAGCTATAAAACGGTAAAAGAATCATTTAAATACGACATTTCGTTATGAAGTTACAGGAGTTTAAACATACAGCTGTTGGAAGAACAATATTTGAGAGATCAGCCTTCAAATTTTATGATTTCGGATATTTCTCAGGCAGAAACCAAATCGTTAAAAATTGTTGTTTTAGCATTGAAAATGGGGAAAATACATAGCATGATGTATAGATATATAAAGGTTATTTTAGTGCAATAAAATACTTTTTTCAAAAATTTTCAGGGGCAGCTCTCCCTGATGAGGGCCCTGGTCCCCGGCACCCCCGCTGCGCCATCCCTGAAGCATACAGCAACATGTAGCATGAACATGGTTAATTCAATGCTCACCTGGTAAAGTGGCTAGTTGTTGCATCAGCATTTTTCCCAAACTACCAGTGTCTTGAGATGGTGGTGGTGGTGGTGGGTTTGATTCAGGTATAGATAGCTGTTTTGGTAGATAGCGGTCTTTAGACGATTTTGTTTTACTTTTTGTCTTTAATAAGCAAAGGCTAGTTGCCTCATTTTCAAAAGATGCACTATTCCCTCCTTGGTTATGAAAAGCAACATTTTCATAAATATCGCCGTAATCACGTTGCTGCGGTAGCAACCGAGTTGAGTCTTGATGTTTCTCGTTTACGGTGCCATGGTGGGTGGTAACTGCTAGGTCTCCTGGAGCACTTTCCGTTCTCATCTGTCCTGATTCATCAACATTCCCATAAATCTGAACATTGGATGAAAAGATACAAAACTTCTTTATTTCTGAAGAAACAAATTCACTAAAACAGATAAAAAGTACAGTAAATAGTAATTTTTCATGAGTACAGTAAGGCTAAATATAAATCCTACAAACTCTTGTATGAGTTTGAAATAATGTAGGCTTTTTGGAAATTGACAATGAAAAACATTTCATAGAGAAAAATGGAAAAAGTAGAACTTACTCTGTCACAAAGACATTACATTATGTTTATCCTATTTTTTTACTGTAAATAAATTATAAAATGAGCCCCAAATAAATGCTCAAACTTTTAGTAGGTATTGCAATGAACAAATATATTAAGCCTGGTTTTTGTGTGGGTCAAAGTACACTGAATCACTTAACATCCACATCCAATGAGATATCAAGCAAGCTCAATACCTTTTATATACAATATAAGTAGCTTCTACTGATGTAGAAAAGCTTTTACCAATACTCAAAAAACAATGAAAGAAAAGACACTAGTAGATGGTGAATCAGGAGAAATTCAAAGACTTCCAAAAATCAATGGAGAAGCACTGGAAAAAAACTGACAAACATAACAGAGTCAGATAGACTATGAAATAATTGGGGATACAGAGTATCCAAAATGAAAAAAATGCCAAAACAAAAGAAGATTGTTTTAAAAGCTACAATCAAATTTAGGCCCATAACTAGATATAATATTATGGAAGAGCACAGGTCTATACGTAACTTTAAAGAAATCCAGGCTTTTGCTCATTGACATAATAAGAAGTGGTGTTAAAATGAGGCATGTTGTGGCGAAATGGTTAAGTTGTCGCACAGGCCAGTATTGAGTAAATGAGCTTTAAAATATGGGAGCTCAAAAAATTGCCTAAAAATCCATTTTTTTTCCACTATAAATAAACAGTTTAAAGTATTATTAATCATGTCCCAAAGTATTAGTTCTGGAAGTGGTCAACAAATTGTTTATTTAATGTTATTTAGATAGTTAATTCTATTAAACAATGTATGCACAAATAACTTTGGAAGGCAATTTCTCAAAATCATGTTTATCTTGACTCTTAAGAGTGCTGTACTTTCACTTTCCAATAACTTGGGCTTGAAATGTCCAATTTCAATGAATGACCCCTCATTTTAAAGATCATATACTCAAGTATCTGAAAATACCAATAACTTGAATTTCAATTTTTGCTACAACTTGGCCATTTTGCCACAACATGCCTCAAATAATTGAAAGTATAAAGTTAAAATAAAGTCAAAAACACATGAAAAACAAAAATACTTAATACTACTAAAGCAAATTATAAAGTAAAAAAAAAAACAATGAAAACCAACTTCACAACTAACACGACATTAGTGAGACTCAAACTATAGCTGCAATGGTAATAGAGAGGTACATGGGACTCATAACCAACCTTGCGTAAGTCAGTGCATTTTTAGTTCATTCACTTTGAGTTTATGGTAATTCAGTGACTGAGAGCAAAAACTGTTCATGCATTCCATGGTAATTTTGCTTTTAACTTAGCTGCAACTGGTTTAAACGCTTTAGAAAATTCAAGTTGAATTTATATAGTTAAATTACCGTTTTAAAATAGTGTTTAAATGGTCGTCATATCTACACGTTACTTGGGATTGTTATCAAAAATGATATACATTTCTTCATTGAAACATGACAAACTATTAAGTTTCATTTAGATTCATTGAAGTTTTTAACGAATATTTAGGTCTCGGACCTAGCACTTTAAATGACCCTCAAATTCACACCCGAATCTAGATCATCACAAAAATTTAATAATTTCTTCCTTGTACCATTGTTAAATTTTCCAGAAAGTTTCATTCAGATAAGTCGATTAGTTTTTGAGATATCTGGTCTAGGACATTCTTCATGTTCACACCCTACTCAAGATCGTCACCAAAATTTAATCATTTCTTTATTTTAACATGACAAACTATTATGGAAAGTTTCATTTGTTTTATTGACATATTTAGGTCTGAGAAGTTGAGCCTCAAATACAAACTTACACAAAAGTTTGATTCAGATCAGTTAATCTGTTTTTGAAATATCTGGTGCAGGGGTGTTTGCCTTTAAATCCCTTTAATTGGTTTTCACATCGACACCCCACTCCAAATAGGCACTAAATTTTACGTGGCATGGTCTATATTTAGATAAAGATTGAAAAGATCCAAGCATGGAAAGTGACCAAAATCCTGTGCAAAAAGATAGCAAAAATATGAGGGGGAAAAAAAATGTAATCTCGATAGCTCCGATGAGGGCAGTATAATAAACATGAATAAATCACGGGCTCATACAGTAATTGCCATTAATTACTATCCCTAACAGGACACGCTGTATAAATGGCACGGTCAGTTAACGCTGTGTTGTAAGGAACTGAAGGTTGTGAGTTTGAATCGCGCCTCGGTATTTAATTTTTTCTTCTTTTTTTAAAATAAATGAGCAGTTTCAGATATTTGAGATCTGTTTGGCAAAAAAATTAGAAGAGCTAAAAAATAGAAATTTTTAAAAATTAGAATGTTCACTTGTACAAAATTAAAATGTCTTAAAATTGAAAAAAAAAATTCCTTAAAATTAGCAAAAAAAAACAAATTGAATACCAAGAAGCTATTCAAACTCACAACCTTTGGTTCAATAGAATACATCGTTAACAGACCGTGCCATCTATAAAACATGCCCTATGGCAATGGCAGTATGTACAGTCCTTGGTATTGGTGGTGCACTTCACAAAAAAGATCTATTAATTAATTAATTAATCAAAAAGCAGTAGGTCCACTTATAAGTTTTAGATACCTTAGTATAAAACACACTCCAAATAAAGTAACTCGCCATTGTGATTCAATATTTCGATCTTTTATTAGATCATCATTAGGAATTAATTGATCAATCAGCCAAGTATTCTACAGAGCTCCTCATAATAAGAGAGAATTTTTCAAATAATTAGATTAAATAATTTGCACAAAATTAAAATGTCTTTAAATTGAAAAAAAAAAAGTCTTGAAATTTGGGGGAAAAAAATGAATACAAGACGCGATTCCTTTAAAACCAATTAGATGGCACGGTTGGTTTTTCCAGCTACTGCTGGGAAAAGCTAATAATAATCGGTTGTCTATGATGTAAAATCTGGAGAGAAAGAATAACAAATCTAATAAAGCCGGGCACTCAAACAACCGATAATCGTCGGCCGATGTGATTCTATGAAGAACGTAACATGATGACGTGTGTGCAACAGATTGTTTTGAGTGACGATCCGTTCAGACTGGCACCAACAATCAGCAAACGGCATTGCGTCGTCTGGTGCTCACAGGGAGTGGAGTTTGAACAATTGCGAGCAAATAAAGCAAATTATAAAGTAAAAAAAAAAACAATGAAAACCAACTTCACAACTAACACGACATTAGTGAGACTCAAACTATAGCTGCAATGGTAATAGAGAGGTACATGGGACTCATAACCAACCTTGCGTAAGTCAGTGCATTTTTAGTTCATTCACTTTGAGTTTATGGTAATTCAGTGACTGACAGCAAAAACTGTTCATGCATTCCATGGTAATTTTGCTTTTAACTTAGCTGCAACTGGTTTAAACGCTTTAGAAAATTCAAGTTGAATTTATATAGTTAAATTACCGTTTTAAAAATAGTGTTTAAATGGTCGTCATATCTACACGTTACTTGGGATTGTTATCAAAAATTATATACATTTCTTCATTGAAACATGACAAACTATTAAAGTTTCATTTAGATTCATTGAAGTTTTTAACGATATTTAGGTCTCGGACCTAGCATTTTAAATGACCCACAAATTCACACCCGAATCTTGATCTCCAAATCAAGCATTCCATGGACAATCAGCAAACGGCATTGGGTCGTTTGGTGCTCACGGGGAGTGGAGTTTGAACCATTGTGCGACGGTTAAACAACCGTCGCACAACGCAGTGAGTTCCCGGCTTAAGAGTACATATTGAATTATCACGTAATAAATTCTCAATGACAAATAATTGCTGATTAATTCACCAGCATCCAAGTGTCAATCCGAAGTATATTAATGGGGTATGAAACTATTTGCATTCAAACTGTCAGTTAAAAGATAATAGCTTACATATTTTAAGCATTTTATTAGCCTATTAAACACAAACAATATACCTTCAATCTTCTTTTCAAAGTCCAATTTACAGTATTTCTAAAGATAAATTATCAGAAATTATTAGCTTACATCACCAAAGTCAGCTGGCTGTTCAGCTTCGTTGGGTTCAATATCTGTTGGCTTTGCAACAGGTTCCGGCTGAAAGAGGTTGATAATATTAATAGTGATAAATATATAATGCTAATAATAATGAATAACCTAAATAATAATGACCATATAACAATAATTAATAATAATAAAACACTCAAATGTTTTATAATAATATCATTAATAATGTCAATACTATAGACAATAGTAAAACTTAATAATAATATAGTTAAAATAGTACACAATAATTTAATTAAATCTACATTGTTACTAAATAGACATCAGCCATCCTTGTAAATAAAATGCATGTACTGTAATATGAACTCTGCAGTTTTGAATACACATTCTGAAAATTTGCGATTGATGCAGTTAATTTTTGCTGTGAAAATAATTGCAGTGAGTAGAGTAAGTGTTAGGGACATTTCCTCTCCCCTGAAAAAAAAAAAGTGCATTTAAGAAAAAAGTGCTCTACCCCACCAAAAGAAATTTAATTTTCTGAGCAAAAACAAATAACACTCAAGTGCCCAGTGCTGTAGTTACTTTAAACTTTATTAACTTATTTTTTCCATAGTGTACCATCTAATGCCATAGCCAGGATTTTCAAACAGTGTGGGACACCATCAGGGTGGACCCAATTTACGCGTAAATTCAAATAATGTGGACCCATTTTCCTAAAAGTTCTTCTATTTTACGCAAAATTATAAATAATCTGGACCCATTTTCTTAAAAATTGACCCATTTTACACAAAATATCAGAAATCTGGACTCATTTTCTCAAAAGTCGACCCATTTTACACAAAAAATATGGGGAAAATCTAAACCCATTTTTAAAATGGCCGCGACCCATTCTTTTGTGGACCCAATAGAAAAATTGTGTTGGACTGTCCCAACTGTTCCAATGGCTGGCTACGGCATTGGTACCATCACATTACAACCATCATCCCTCTCCTTTCCCAATCCCATGTCAATCCGGCACAGGCTGATTTTGGTCAGAGGATGGGAAACAGCATGAAGTGTGCGAAATTGAGAATGTGGAACTAAATTCCTATTCCCATTAAGCTTTACTGGTCATTTTTAGTATTTTAACCCACTTAGTTGAACTAATTTGCAAATTTGGGGAGGGGGAGGAGTGCAACCCCCCCTATCCCCATGAATAGAATAGAACTCCCCTTCCTCTACCACATGTCTATACTCCAAAATACGGCACTGGCATTCGGGCAACATAGTTTTGCAGTGCACACTTTAGTATTCCACTATAATGATTACATCAATCTAAAGTATCATAATATTTATAATAATGGTGTGCTAATAAAGTGCATGCTTAAACAAAAATTGTTCCATAAATACATTAACAGTTTCCATACTAATATTTCTTTTAAAATCATTCCAAAAAAAAAAATGTGCAAATTATTATTTTATTTTTTATCTGTAACACAATTATTTGTACCTTTTTCATATCTTTCCAGGGCAAAGCTGTAATCTAGAGAACAGAGTTATAAATATTATTATTTAAACTAGTACAGTACAATTATTATATTATCAATTAATGTAGAACCTGCATAATTAATATGTGAAATGGTCGACGACACTAAATGCACCTTTACATTACGACAATATTTTGTGTCTAAATTCGATAAAACGGCAGTGAAGGTCGCCAAAAACCACTAAATTTGGTCATTTTTCAATTTCTTTTTGTAATAACTTCGCAAATACTTTATCGATTTTTTTTGGGAAAAGATAAAACTGATCGGAATTTAATAATCATTACAACAATTAAAAATTTATAAGTGTAATGTTAACACCTTTATCGGACTTTTGATTTTTATCAAACCCACTCGTGTATTTTTTCAGCGTAAAAACAGTGAAATCTGCCGAAATATCCCAGCTGTCTTTAACATAAATC